TGGTAGATTTCATCAATTTAGCCATGGGGGCATAAAGTTTTCTTGTAGGAAGTCTTCAACTATCAGTTCAAATTCTTTAATAGATGTAATATAGAGTTATTCATGTAATCTATTTATTCTTGAGTGAGCATTGATATTGAGTATTTTTCAGTGACTTTTTCCATCTCATCTAAATTGTACAATTTATTGTCATAAAGTTGTTCTTAATATTCCCTTATTATGCTTCTAATGTCTGTAGAATCTGTAATGGTGTCACCTCTGATATTTTGATACTGTAATTTGTGTCTTCCCTCTCTATTAATCTTCTCAAAGAACTAGCTTTTAGTTTTGTTGATTTTCTCTATTGTTTTCTCTTGTCTATTTCATTGATTTCTGCTGGAGTCTTTATTATTTCTCCACCTTACTTTAGGTTAAATTTGCTCTTCTTTTTCTAGTTTTTAAGGTAGAAGCTGAGGTCATTGATTTGAGACTTTTCTTCTTTTCTAATTTATGTGATTAGTGCTATAAATTTTTTCCTGAGTATTATTTTAGCAGTATCTTACAAAATTCAATATATTGTGATTTTATTTTCATTTAGTTCAAAATACTTTTTAATTACCCTTTTTATTTCTTCTTTGACCCATGGCTATTTAGAAGTGTTTAATTTTGTTTCCAAGTATTTGGGTATTTTCCAGAGGCCATTCTATTATTGGTTTCTAATATAATTTTCTTACAATCAGAGTGCATACTTTGTACAAATTGAATCCTTTTAAATTTATTAATACATTTTATGACCCAGAATATGGACTAGCTTGGTAAATATTCCATGTGTTTGAAAAGAAAGTATATTCAGCTGTTGTTGGGTGTGGTGTTCTATAAATATCAATTAATTCAAGATGGTGGATAGTGTTGTTCAGATCTTCTGTATCCTTACTGATTTCTGTGTACTTGTTTTATTACCTATTGAGAGAGGGTTATTGAAATCTTTGGTATGATTGTGAATTTGTCTGTTTGTCCTTGCAGTTCTATCAGTTTTTGCTTCATGCATTTTGAAGCTCTGTAATTAGGCACATAAATGTTTAGGAGTGTTATATCCTATTGATGAATTGATCGCTTTATCATTATGAAATGTCTTTTTAAATTCCTATTAATATTCTTTGTTCTGCATTCTACTTTGCTTGATACTAATTTGCAGCATTCTCTTAACTAATGTTAACATCTTATTCCAACCTTTTAACCTGTTTGTGACTTTATGTTTAAAGACATTTTTTATAGGCAACATGTAGTTGGCTTTCCTCAACATAGATAGTTCACCAGACTCTGCCTTGGTTTCCCCTTCCTGTGCTGCGACCTAAATACTCTGTAGGCAATAAGATGAGGTGAACATGGGGCTCATTTTGTTTTTTTTATCTCTGAAGAGCAGGGCTTAGAGTAGGGTGAGGTGAGTGAGGCCCCTAGACAGTGATAACTATCAGATGAGCAACTTTGAGAGTGATGCCTCCTTAGATGCTGTAGGCACCTCACGCTTAGGCAGGCACTCATTCCCAGGGTTGTTCAGGTTCAGGGTTAGCACTTGAGAGTGATGCCTCCTTAGATGCTATAGGCATCTCACTCTTAGGCAGGTGCTCATTCCCAGGGTTGTTCAGATTCAGGGTTAGCACTTGAGAGTGATGCCTCCTTAGATGCTGTAGGCACCTCACGCTTAGGCAGACATTCATTCCCAGGGTTGGTCAGGTTCAGGGTTAGCACTTGAGAGTGATGCGTCCTTTAATTCTGCACCTTAGGATTCTCACTCAGCTCCCCATAGTCCTGGCCCTGCCTATGGATCACTGTCTCTCATTGCCTGATGACTTATATCTTGAAGACCATTTAAAATATATATATTGTCTGTAATTTTAATTATTTCCCCATAGTCCTGGCCCTGCCTATGGATCACTGTCTCTCATCGCCTGATGACTTATATCTTGAAGACCATTTAAAATATATATATTGTCTGTAATTTTAATTATTTCAACTGGGAGGGTAAATCTAGTCTCTGTTACTCTGAATTTTCTGTAAATAAAAGTCTGGACTTACTGGTTATGAGAAAAAATTCCATATAGAGAGCTATCTGAGTGAAATACAAATGCTTTCAGGCCTCCCTGTAAAGAATTCAGCAAAAAATTGGTCATTTTTCATTCAATAATCAGGAGCACTGACCATATATCATTTTCTAGGCTAGGAACTGGGGTTAAAATCCAGTTAAGACATGGCGCCTGTCTACCAGTTGCTCATATCTGGCTTCTTTACAACTATTAGGTTGGCTCTTTCATATCGTACATCACCTGTGACCAGGAGGTAGAGGTAGAGGGAAGGTGGGCCAGGGAAGGGAGAAAGCCAGCAAAAGATAGATCTGGAACTCAGAGATCATCTCTACTGATTCCCAGGCCCAGAGAGGCTCGAGGTCATGCTTAAGCTTACACAGCTAGTCAGCAGTAGTTGATTGCTTTGTAGTCTATTTAGAACCCAACCCAAAATACCTTCCCCCACTGCCAGTTACCATGACTGAAATCCCACCATCAGAGACTCACTCATTAAGGGCAGGGACCATGTCCTGTTCATGTTTGCATTTCTCAGTGCCAGCTCACAGTCTGTAATATGGTAATCAGTAGATGAAAGTGAATGAATGAATTATGAAATTAAAGGTATGCCTGTTAAAATTATGAATATGCCTCTGGGAGGTGGCTTAGATCATTGTCGGCTGGGGATGAGGAGACTACTAAGAACAAGCCCACAACTGGGACTCATGCTTGGAAAGCATATGGTATAGCAGAAGAGGTCTCTGCTGTGCTAGACCTTGATCCAAGTTACTTAACCTCTCCACACCTCAGCTCCCTCATCTGTATGATGGAGATCCCATTCATACTTACCTTATGGGGGGATGTCAGGTTCCAACAGGATGAAGTGTGCTAGGGGACTGCCAGGAGAAGGCCCTCAAGGAATGACAGATATTATTACGCTAGTCTCCTGGGAATAGCAGGTGGGAGTGGGGTGGGGCCTATTAGGTACAGAGACCTTGTAGACAGAGTCCTGGCAAGACACCAGAAAAGCAGCAGGCTGCTCTGCTCAGGCTGTGTATTTACAGAAGCTCCCATGTTACCACCCTCATTACCCAAAAGCCCTTCTGAAGCCCAGTACTGCATGTAGGCGTGCCGGACACTGCACACAGAAACTGTGCAGACACAGCCCTGCCCTCTCAGGTCTTACATCCAAAGCAGTGCCCTCTGGGGAAGACAGAATAAAGCTATTAACCCCATGGAGGGTCAGCTGACAGTCAGTTCACAACACATAGGGATGACAAGAAAGAGCACTTCCGAGTATGGGGCTGGTCAAAGGATTCAGGGTGGGAATTGCATGTTCAGGGTAGAGTGAGAGGTGCAGTCTGCTCTGCTCTGCCCAGGCTCCATCACACGGACACGTTCCTGAGGCCAGCAGGTCTTCCAGCTTGGCCCACGTCTCTTGACAAGTGTGGTAGGTGGAAGGTGTTGACCAGAATCATAGATTGCTCTGGAGTCGTGTAGCTGAGCCAGAGGCCGAGCATCTAGGGATACAGTGATTTTCCCCCTTTTTTACTCACATGGATACAGGAGATCACATTCTCCAGCTCCCCACAAAATTCATACAATGCATGTCTATATTTTTAAACTTAAGTGCTGTCATGTATTTAAAATTCGAATCTATTCTACTTCTAAAAATCTTCAGATGGAAAAATCCAAGGTTATTATTTTATCCTTTTACCACATTAACCCAATTTTTCATTAATAACCTTTTACGATTTGGCAACTTCACAGACTTACAGACTGCCACAACAAACAAACGGGTCCAGTCTTCTCACTGTACAGATGAGAAAAGTGAGGCCTAGGCAGGTACTGACTTGTTCAAGGTGGTGTAAGGAGCAGTCGAGTCCAGACAAGAAGCCGGGTTTCTGTATTTTTCTTCCACATCACACTGCAACAGATCCTCTGAAAACAGTTTTTGAGGGGCTTTCAGAATCTGATTGAGGTGTATGATTTGTGTAAGTTTTGGCCGAAGACAACTCGGGTGTCACCAAACTGAGCCTGGCAAGTCCAGTACAACATGAAGCTCCTTGCAGACGGGGTGCACTTTCTCCTGCCTGAACTGCAGAGCTCAGCCCTGGCAGAGGTCTGTGGCCCTGGGCAAGTGCTTACCAAGAACTTGTTGATGGCGAGTGATGTAGAAACTAGTGCACCTGAGTGAAGGGAGCTCTCCAACTGTGGCACTGCTGAAGAGTCAGGACAAGGTGGGATGAAGATCAAATAAGCGACAAAAGCGTGGGTTTAAATCTCGCCTTTTGCACTAACTTGCTGTGTGATGTTGGGCAAGTCACTCAACCTCTCTGGACCTCAGTTTTCTCATTGGTAAAATGGAGATGATAATATCTATCTTAGAGGGATGTGAGAATCACATGAAGAAAATGTGTGTCAAGGCAATGGCGTGGTACTTGCCTCTCAGTGACCACCAATGAGTGACAGCCTCTCTATCAGGATCTGCTTTGTTGTAGTTTGGTTTTTAAAATTGAGACAAATTGTTTTCAGGTTTCCTCTTCTGAACATCCTTTCAACCTGGAAATGTCTGTTTTCTTTCCTCTCTCTTCTCTTCTCGCTCTGATGGCCTGGCTGATCATTAGCAGCGATCGTGGCACATTTCCCCTCATCCTGGGTTCCTGCTAATTAAGAGATGGTTGCTAAGAGATGTGGGGACACACTGGTGAGCTCTGCCTTCGCTCTCATCCCCTCTCATTCTTTTCAGCCTCACTCCAGCCTCCTCACACCCACTTCTCTCTCCCACCCTCCATGTTCAGGTTCTGAAAAGACTTGAAGAAATTGACAAATCTGGATGGCTACCCATGACGGGAGGGTGAGCTCCGGATCCCAGAGACCCTGCCAGGGGCCAAAGGGGAGCAGGGCCTGCCTCCTCCATGTTCAGGTTCTGAAAAGACTTGAAGAAATTGACAAATCTGGATGGCTACCCATGATGGGAGGGTGAGCTCCGGATCCCAGAGACCCTGCCAGGGGCCAAAGGGGAGCAGGGCCTGCCTAGGTTCCCTGGACAGCCTGGAGTGGAAGGAGATCCAGGAGCAGGCACCAGGCCAGCTGGCTATGCTGAGGAAGGCACAGGAGTTCTTCCAGACCTGCGACGCCGAGGGCAAGGGCTTCATTGCCAGGAGGGATCTGCAGGTAAGAGGGGCCCCTGGGCCTGCCCGCCTGGAATGCCAAATGGCACCATCTCCTTGTCTTGAGTTAGGGCCCCATTGGAGGTGACATCCTTAACAGAAACGGTGCTATCAGTTCTGCCCTGGAAGGAAGTGTCAGCCCAAACTCTGTTGCGAGCCAGATCTCCTGGGTTCATTCTATTTCTGGCCTTTACTTGCTGTCAGACTTGGGGGTTGGTCCCTTCTCTGATTCAGTAACTTCTCAGGATTGTGGGAATTGGTGAAAGTGACATAAGGGACTTAAATAAGACACAAAGAAGAACCTTCCAAAACTAAAGGTATAAAAGCACCAGCTTGATGCTTCACAGTGCTGCTCTGAGTGACAGAGATGTCACTTCTGCTGTGTGTGCCTTAGGAATAGACACAGTTCAGGTGCAAGAGCCTGGGAGGAAGGCATTTCTGGAGGTCACCTTATCTGTCTCTCACCCTCAAACCCAACCACACTTGACCCCCTGGAAGCATGTCATGAGAGAGATGGTGTGCAGAGCCTCAGCGCACACCGTGCCTGGTGCAGAGCTCAGCAAACTTGCCATGAAGGGCCAGAGAATAAATCTCTTTGGTTCTGTGGGTCGTACAGTCTCTGCCACAACTACTCAACTCTGCTGCTGTAGCACGAAAGCAGCCATAGGCCATATGCAAACAAATGAGCATGGTGTATTCCAATAAAACTTTATTTATGAACATTGAAATTTGAATTTTATATAATTTTCACATGTCACCAAATATTATTCTTCTTTTGATATTTTTTCCAAACATTTAAAAATGTAAAAACCTTTCTTAGCTTACTAGCCACACAAAAATAGGTGATGGTGGGGTTTAGCCCAGAGACATAGTTTGCCCTCCTCTGCTCCAGTGCCTTTTCACCTTCAGTGTCAAAACCTTCTTCTTAGGGTCTTACTGAGGTCTCTCATGCTGCAGTCATGATTTCTCCCAAATGTGAGCAGACCAAACTCAGGCTCCCATAGAGCGTATGAAAGCAGCTCTTTTCCCCCCACTCTTCTGTTGCCCACTCTGTCTAGAGCATTTTTTGGAGGGACGTGTACCCGTGCCATTAGAAGGAAGACCCACGATGGTCAGATTTTCTTTCTTTAAGTCTCATTTTTCAGAATACACACAAGTGGGGCGATGAAATGTAGACCCTCACTGGTACCGGTTCCACCTCTGCTGTACGTGTCAGCTGCGAGGCGTGCGGGCTGAGAAACGGGCCTGTGGCCTGGATGAAACACGGCAGTTATTTTCTTTCTTTAAGTCTCATTTTTCAGAATACACACAAGTGGGGTGATGAAATGTAGACCCTCACTGGTACCGGTTCCACCTCTGCTGTACATGTCAGCTGCGAGGCGTGCGGGCTGAGAAACGGGCCTGTGGCCTGGATGAAACACGGCAGTTCTTTCTCTCCCTGACCCCACAGGATGGTGTTTTTAGGCTTCTAGAACATTCCATCATCCAGTCTTTGCTTGCATTGAGTAAAACAACCTAGGGGACAGCACCAGCTCAGCCCACCCTTGCTTTCAGTAATTGGCTTTCCAAAAATCTTCTGTCACTGAAACTCATCCCAAAGTCCTGCTCCATGTGGAAGGCCAGATTTAGCACATTTTGAGAAAACCTTCACAAACCCCTGTCTGTGAACTTCATCATAGTCATTCACGGGCGTGTGGTAGTGGTGGTTATTGATGGTGGCTTTAATAGACACTTAACTTTTGATTATCCCCTCTAGAAAGAAAGAAAAGGAAATTCACACTTTCTGAGAGTCAGCTCCAGGCCACACGCACTGTGCGACTCAGCACCCTCACTGTAAATATCCCAATTAACCCTCATTGAACCCTACTCTTTAATGAAGGGAGGAAGAGGCTGGTGAGTTTAAACTGTGATGTGTATGTTTTTGGAGATTAATTTGTATTTGACTTGGAAGTTAGTCAGAAACATCCAGTCCCAGAGATACGACTCAGCTACAGCCCTGCTCAGGCTTCCCGCTCAGTCCTCACCCTGACCCAGGCAGGGGAAGTGGGGGTGAACGTGCCACCAGCAGGTACATGTGCATCGTGGCATCGGTTGCTACTGTCCACTTCATTTTCCAAAGGTTTTCTGTACCTGTGGAAAATGAAGCATTTGAAATTTTTAGTCCTTCGGGCTAGGAAGGTGCTGTCCAGTGAGGGAACAAAACATGTCATTTAAGTGCCACCCCGTGGCTGCTATCGCTGGTGGGTCTGGAGGAAGGCTGGGAAGAGGTGCGTGCAGAAGAGTAGCCCTGCCACAGCCAAGCCCGGCTCTCTGTGGAGCCCACGTGGGCCCGGGTTCTCCCGGGGAAGACCCCTCGGGCATCTGCTCATGGGCTTGTCACTCCCACATGTAGCTGCTTGTGGGCATGGCCACCTCTGTGGCTGGTGTCCAGCTCCTTGGACCAGGCCACTGCCACCTTTTCACCTTCGGCTCCCAGCACAGCCTCGTGGGAACTGGAAGGGGAAGAGCCTGCATTCTTCATGTACACACACATTCAGCAACCAGGAAAGGCCCATTACAGCAGAGGATGGTCCTCAAGGAAGGACAGGCTGTGGGGCCAAGTGCGAGGGAAAACCCAGGGGCCGGAGGAGCTGGGCGGAGAAGCAGAGCTGGAGGAAAGTCCCAGGGAGCTCACAGTTGTTTTCAAAGAAGAATGAGAGAGAGAAGCCCCTCTCCCCGTGTGCTTTCTCTTCTTCTCCCTATTAGAAATAGTTTGTTTGCAGACACTGAGATTGACCGTGCGATCATCTGAGAGGTGGTGGAGACTGCCGTGGTGGTCTGAGCCCACCAGTAAGTAGCTAGCCCAAGCAGGGACCACAGAAAGAAAGGAGCAGAGTCCTGGTGCTTTTTAAAACTGGGGTCCCTGGAGAAACCATGGAGGAGCCTGAGGTGGGCTGCCCTGAGTGTAGAATTCAAGCTGCCATCTGCCCGGGGCTCCACATGCACATGTTCTGCTGCAGGGACGGTGTGCTCTCTGTGCGCAGAGTTTAGGCAGTGGTTTAGAGTCCTCAGCTGCACCAATGGCCCCTCAGATCCCACACTGTTGTCCACAAAACACCTCTCTGGGTTTCGAGGGGACCACTCCAGGCAGAGCTGGGGTAGATGTTGCTGTGCAGGGTTGGGTCTGGTGCAGTACCCTAGAGAGGCAGAGTCATGGGCTAAGGGCCCCAAGTGAAAGTCAGCCTTGCCTCAGACAGAAAGAAGGCAGGAGGGGGCATGAGAGAGGGAGATGAGGGTAGGACGGCAGGAGATGGCTCTGAAAAAACCCGAGAGGCTCAAAATCCCTGTTTCCCTGGGTTTTTGGGTTTTTTTAAATTGGAACAGAGTTGATTGTACATGTTTGTGGGGTACAGCATTGAATATCAATACCTTTGTGCAATATGTGGTGTTCAAATCAGGATAATTAATTAGTATATTCTACATTGCACAATGTAATCAATTTTTGTGGCCATTTACCCCATTCCTCTGTTGCTCCCTTCCCCCCCCCAACTACCTCTGGTTCTGTTCTCTTCTTTTGAAAGTTCAACATATTATTGTGATTGTTGTATCTTTCTTTTTTATTTTTTATTTTTAGCTCCCACTTATGAGTGAGGACATGTGGTATTTCTCTTTCTGTGCCTGGCTTATTTCACTTAACATAATTTTCTCTAAGTTCATCCATATTGCTGCGCATGGCAGTATTTCATTCTTCTTTATGGCAGAGTAGCATTCCATTGTGTAAATATACCATATTTCCTTACCCAGTTGTCTGTTGACGGACATTTAGGTTGATTCCAACTCTTGGCTATTATAAATAGAGCTGCAATAAGCATGGGAGTGCAGGTGTCCCTTCGACATGATCGTTTCCATTCCTTTGGGTGTACACCCAGCAGTGGGATTGCTGGATCGTATGGCAGTGCTATCTGTAGTTGTTTGAGGAACCTCCACACCACTTTCTGTAGTGGCTGCACCAATTTACAGTCCCACTAGCAGCGTAGGAGGGTTCCTCTTTCTCTGCATCCTCACCAGCGTTTGTTATTCTCAGTCTTTTTGATGACAGCCACTCTTAACTGGAGTGAGATGATAATTCAGTGTGGTTTTGATTTGCATTTCCCTGATGCTGAGTGCTGTTGAGCATTTTTTCATTTGTCTATTGGCCATTTGTATATCTTCCTTTGAGAAATGCCTGTTCAGCTCCTTTGCCCATTTTTTAATTGGGTTATGTGTATTTTTTTACTGTTAAGTTGTTTGAGTTCCTTGTATATTCTGGATATTAACCCTTTGTCAGATGCATAGTTTGCAAATATTTTCTCCCACTCTGTAGGTTGTCTTTTTGCTCTGTTAATTGTTTCTCTTGCTGTACAGAAGGTTTATAGTTTGATATAATCCCATTTGTTTATTTTTTCTTTTGTTGCCTGTGCTTTTGAGGTCATATCCATAAAGTCTTTGCCCAGTAATACTTCCTGAAGTGTTTCCCCTATGTTTTCTTTTAGGAGTTTTATAGTTTCAGGATGTACATTTAAGTCTTTAATCCATTTTGAGTTGATTTTAGTATATGATGAGAGGTACAGATCTAATCTCATTGTTCTACCTATGGATGTCCAGTTTTCCCAGCACCATTTATAGAAGAGGCAGTCTTTTCCCCAGCATATGTTCTTGGTGCCTTGTCAAAGATCAGCTGGCTGTAAGTATGTGAGTTGATTTCTGGGTTCTCTGTTCTGTTCCATTGGTCTGTGTGTGTTTTTATGCCAGCACCATGCTGTTTTGGTTACTATAGCTGTGTAGTACAATTTGAAATCAGGTAGTGTTATGCCTCTGGTTTTGTTTTGTTTTGTTTGCTCGGGATTGCTTTGGCTATTCAGGGTCTTCTGTTGTTCCATATGATCATTAGGATTGTTTTTCCTATTTCTGTGAAGAATGCCATTGGTATTTTGATGGGGATTGCATTGAATCTGTAGATTGATATGGGTAATAAGGACATTTTCA